AGAGAGAGAGAGAGAGAGAGAGAGAGAGAGAGAGAGAGAGAGATCAATAACAAACTTGCTTCTTTTTGTGAGAGATGGAGAGATGACGAAGACCGACATAAAATTACTGTATTCTGGCCATAGACAGTGGCTATCTATGACCTCGGCGAGAGGAATAAGCAAGCTGTGGTGGCGAGAGATGTTAAGCGTGCTTTGCCGTCTATTTGTTGACTGGCTTCACCGGAAGATGGCGTAGGAGTTGCTCTTGCGCTCATCTCTCCTTGGTGGTCCTGCGCGCGGCTGGTGGCATACCCCCAATTGTCGCCTTTAGCTTTACCAAAGTAATTAAAGTTAGCATTATCGGTAATGATGGCCATCGACGTCGCCATCGGCCAATGTCGTCCGACTGTTTGTGTCTAAGAGAAGGATTAACCCAATCTTAATAGTGGCTTAGGTCCGGAGTATATTTATCTTTGAGCTAATCCCTCGCTCATCTTATCTCTGTAGCTACTCGATCCATATTTATCTGATTATATATATATATATATATATATATATATATATATATATACACACACACACACACATCAGTTGTATTTATGTCTTTTCCTTGTTTATCATTCGTCGATGGACAAATAAGAAGAATCTTCTATCCGATCGTGAGTACTTTCTTAATTAGGGGGATCACACAGAATGAATACCCCCAATGGACAAGAACACATGTAATTTGAATGTTGGGAGTTGTGGAAGGTAACCAAAGATATATGCGTTTTTTGGGCTGCTTTGGCTCCTTTGCGCGAAAAAAAAAATGATCAGGAAGAATAAGCAACGAAAGAATTCTGTGGCTGTTTATATATTAACATTAAGAAGACGGCAGGTCAACTATCAGAATACTTTGGACCTACGGGAAGAAAACAAGTGTATATTAGACCTAAAAGAAAGATGGCATCTAAATCGGTTCTCAAGAACACACATGCATGCCAAAGAAAATAGGATACTGTGTGCACTATCAATGTCGCCAAGATGGACGTTTGTACATACACATTATATGTTCTACATCTACGATACAGTAAAGTTCAATTATCGAAGGCCTCCAAAAAGAGAGCTTTGATTATTCTTCGTTAATATAGGAGGTCGAGCAATATGGCATACGTGTTGACGACATTACTGTGTTAACGTTGTTGGATCCGATATCTCAACTTTATCTTTCACCTAGCTAGCTGTGCTCCCTCGACAATATGCCTGCTAGCTCTAGCTTCCTTTTAAATATGTTTTAGCGGTCTACTGTTAATGGCAGCATGCGGACATTATCTTCTTTTTAAGTGCTGACTTCCGACTTCCTCCACCGAACATGGCCTCAGCATCTATCCATCCAATGGCGAATGCCTGTACAGCTCCACATCAATTCGTGGCTCTAAAGCTTGGAGAGGAATCTTCTCACTCCGTTGTAAGAAGACGCCCCACATCAATTCTTCCGGCGACAACTCCTGCTAATCTATCATGTCGCCAGACCCTTGACAATATATATATACATATATATGTATATATATATACATATATACATATATATATATATAATAAATATAGTATGTGATGAAAGATAAGCAGCGCATGCATTAGTTGTGATTGATAATGATTGCTTTGCCACTCCATTAACTTATTAACCGGCCGGCCGCATAGCTCAACAACCTCTTTCTCTGCCATGCATACATTAAACAGGCTCGCACATGACAAACCCAGCCATTTGCAGACCTTCGCATCGGCGACGCACATATAATTCTTCCTAAGAAGTTAATAATTTAATTCTGATGGCTTCTGAAAAATGGAACGTTTTGGTGTTTCTTTTTTCTTTTAATTATGGAGTTCGTATCTCACAAACAAAACAAGAATATGGAGAACGTGAAACTCGTACAGCACGGAGGCTTACAAAACAAATATAAGGCACACAAAACTATCGACTATTTCATCGATCAGCAGTGGAGAAGGGGGCGGGCAAAGCGACCGCTGGATGATAAGACACGTCCAAAGCGGAGAGGTTGGTTCTCGTGGCGGAAAGAAAGGCACGTGACGGCATGCCCTGATTTAATGGGCGACCGACGCGGGCATCGAGAAATTCCGTGAGCTGGCGCACGTGCCTCCACCCAAACCCGAACGGCTTTACACGCGAAAGGTGGGCCCCTCCGTCACGTACTTCCGAGTTGGCATCGGTGGCACCAAGCCCGTGTCACCGTTCGCCCGAGATTGCAAGTTTTGTCGTCGAGCCAGGGAGAAGTCGCGGATGTCGATACCAACAACCCCTCGAGACCAAGTTTCGGCAAAATCCCATCTCTATTCCATCTTAGTGGCAGTCTTGATCGGTACTCTCAATCCCCACTTCCGACACACACGATCCTTCTGTTGTTGGTGTTTGAGCCCAAATATAAACCTTCCATCTTTTCTCGCATCATCCATCGGATCTTTATTAGGCCCCACTATGCGTCGTTTCTAGACCATGGACCGGCCCAGTGCCACCATCTATCCATTCCTCTACCGGCCCCTCCCTTTTTCACCGCCGACCAAGCACAAGGACATCACCATCGTCTTCATCAAGAATGAGGAGGCGTCGTCGACATCCGAGATCTTCTCATCCCCGAAAAACGTTTCACCAACGAATCCACAGATACATGACCGGATCCAAGGGAACAGCAAAGAAGTGCATTCTAATCTAGAGTGCTGGGTTGGAGAAGCTGCGGAAAGTTGAGAGGCTCCGTCGAGTTCCCGGCTTTGGCACGTTCCGGCAAAGCAAGGGCATGGCCGGGTTAATAAACAGCGCGAAAGGCGCAATCTTTGCCGTAATCCACTTGGGGGAAGAGAGCGGCAGGTTTTCCAAAAAAGGACCAGAAGATGGCAAACAGAACGCGACTTCTCTCGAGCAAAAGCTAGTTTCAGCATCAGTCCTACACCCCTCCGCGCGGGAAGGCCTCCAAGATTTGAGAGATACTAAGAGAGACGACGACGGCTGCGGCCGGAGAGAGGTGAAATTGGGCCACGAAGCGGTTTGGGCCATCTGATGCGGAGAGAGATTCAACGTGCCCGACCATACCTGATAACCGCACGCTAACGGAACGCATCCTACCTGTTGCCCTACCAAAGTGGCCTGCTTTCGCATTGCGAGGATTGCGTCGAGCGTTTTGGTGGTGCACAGCTAGCCAGCCAGCCAACCAACCAACCACGTGACACTGCCGGAGGCGAGGCTAGCATAAGCGAACGCGGTCCTCATTCGGCGTCCATGGGCTCGCTAGCGCGTAGGTAACCGCTGTTGGTCATCCCGAAGCCTCGCACCCCCTTTCTTTATTGTTTTTATTGGGGTCCACCGAGTCCCATGGTGTGGCAATGGTGCCTCGGCACGATGCCTTCGATCACTCGCCTCTCGAGATTCTACTGAAAAGAACAAAAGAAAGCAGCGCTGCAATTTTCAAAGACACCCCACCCACGAGTTGCATGAGACAAAAAAGATGAGACCGATAAGCATGACCGAGTGTGTACATACACACGATTCACGAGCAGCGAAGGAACTCCTCCACACCACCAACTTCCCCAGAACAAAAACAAAACCACACCGGGGCCCACCGCGATATGATTGCTTTCTTTTATCTCGGTTGGAGGTCACAAGAAGGTGGGCTATCGCACGGAAGACGAAACCGACAGCAACGGAGGGCAGGCAAAACTACCAAAACAACCCCGTCTCGGAGGACGGCTTACCGCTTTCACCCTTCGTTCCGCCGTCGGCCTCCCTTCCCGTCATCCCGTGTGAGGTGGCAACCAGAGGGCGGTTTGGTAACTTTCCCTGGATCCTTGTGCGTCTCACTTCTTCTCAGATCGCGTCGCTGCCTCCGTCACCGAGGCGAGCTTCTGGAGGTTGAGGCGGACGACGGTGTCGGCGAACAGCTTTGTGTCGTCCACGGTGTTCCCCTCCGGCACGTCCACCACGTACGACTCGAGAACCACCGTCCGGGGCTCCCCGCCCTCCCCCGCGGGGAGCTCGTCGACGGTGGTAACGGACCGGTAATTCCGGAGGCGGTGCTCTCCGCCGACGATGGTGAAGCCGAGCACACGCCGGCCGTCGTCGATGAGGTCGAGGCGCTCGGTGCTGGTGCTCGCCGGGAGGCCGGTTATGACGCTGACCTCGCGGAGGCACCCCGGTCGGAGCTCGCGACCGCCATCACTCCCGTCCTTGAGGGCGCAGCTCCGGATGAAGTGCTTGTAGATCTGGGGACGGTCGAACCGCCGGACCACCGACCAGACGGTGGCGGCCGGGGCCCGGATCCGCTGGGCGAGGATGGAGGAGCATTGTCCCGGGCCGACGTCGTACCGATGGTGGGTTTCGATCGCGGAGCGCAGGCCCGCATACTCCTCCGCCGTCAGACCCGCCGGAGCCCCTCCTGCTGCCGGAGATCGGGTCGTAATTCCTTCGCCGGCCTGCATGGTGGAATTTTTTCGGTGGTTTGGTTAGATGGAAGCAAAGAGGCTGAAGAGGGTTCGGGTACATAAATACTGGGACCGAGGCGGCCATCTAAAGAAATAAACGAACTTATCTACAACACTAGTAGTGGGTGCATTAGGTACACGCGTACTAAAGTAATCCTCCCAAAGACTTCCTCACTCGTCGACGATCATATCCATCGGACACCGTCACTCGACGTTTCTTCTTCTGCCAGATCATCGGAGATCGCATGCGAAGCACGCCACTCCTCACCTATAGAGCCGTTTACTGTCATCAAATAATTAAATTTAAAACTAATAGTCTCTTTTCAATTTGTTTTTCCTAATACATTAAATATCCCTGGTTAGCCCCATCGAAACAATTCTCTACCATCACCTCGGATCGATTCACATGATGCACCGCCCACACCCCTATGACCTGTTATAATATTTTTGATGATGAGGGTAATAATGACGATAAGACTCGGGTTGACGTCAGCTGTCCCAGATGACGCCTCGGTTGACCTGACACCGTCTGATCAAACGGATCGAAACGTTGACCGAGGCACATTAAACATCCTACTCAGACTCGGTCCTTCATGCCACATCAACACCAGTGTCAGACGTTACCAGGAGTACGAGCCTGCCCCCTACAAGCGGGCACATCAGGAAACAGTAAACTTCCCTATAAATACCCTCGCATTCTAAACGGGAAAAAAACGGAGGAGACAACTTAGCTAAAGAAACCCCCTTTACCATCCACTGACTTGATCGTTGGAGGGGTCGGGTCGAGCGCCCCGACCCGACCTTTGTGTAGGTGCGAAGCTGAAGGTCCCCACTGGACGCGCAGACGAGGAGTTCTCGCTCGGAGGAAACGGCGACCCCGTCCCGATCGGACCACCGTAATCGGCCACCTCAGCAGTCTCGAGGAACATCCCAGGGAGATCCCGTCATCCGGACCCGAACCAAACCGCATCGGTCCCGAGGCCACGGCTAAAGATTGTTCACACTAACATTTGACACTACAACAAAAATCCTACAAAATTTTATTTAAAAATGTTATAAAAGAATCAAATCTCTCAATCTTCAATCAAACTGATTACATTGTGTAAGAGCAACGATAATTTTCTTTTAAAAAAACAATACTATGTTAGGTACAGTATATTTTAATAACTTTATAGTGTTTTCAATAAGTGAATAATATAAAATAAAATCAAAACACAATAAAAACTAATTAATATAACATGAAAAGATTCAAAAAGGTACGAATAATAATTTAGGAAAAACATCACCCGGATCAAAAATTGATCTGTTTTAATGTTTCCGACACAAAAACAAAAACATCAAAAAGCATATTTAAAAATACTATCCCAAATGACCCAAATGATACCATGATCTAATAATCGCCTAACTAATAATATATTTTCTTTTATCAATAATAATTTTGAATCACGAAAATGATACCAGACTGTCTCTCATGAACACCCCCCACCCCCTCGATCATTTCTGACATAGGAGGCAGAGACACTGTAATACACAGTGTAAAGGGTGCTATGGTAGCAGCTAAACATGTAACCACATGTTAAAAGAGACTCGTTGTCACTCCATCGAAACCTGCTTTCCTCGTCGACGAATGGTTTCTATCGTCAACCAACCCTTCTCCGACAAAATGGAAAGAAAAAGAAAAAAACATTCGATGAACTTGTTTGAAAAAAACTATTAAGGTGTTTCTCATCAAAATACTAACTTATTATATGTAGAATAATAAATCAATCATAAAGTGAGAAATCAAAATTTTTACGTGAAAAACCCAATACGAGAAAAAACACGGACTATAGTCCACTTCAAATTTCCACTATCATAAAAAATAATAACAAGTTTACAGTAAGTCTTCTCCTAAATAACCAAAGGATCACAATAATATAAAAGAACATAGATCTTAGCTCAGCATTAACATATCATCATCACCGAAGATGGATTTTATGAAAAAAAAATTTTAGGTCTCACAAAATGGGTATAGCAGAAAAATACTATAGAAAGGATAAATTACAAATCAGTATCATTAAAATTGTAGAGCTTATTGCAAAGATTCTTCACATAAAATTTAAGCCAAAACCAACAAAGTTTAACCGCTCGATCATCTAGCAAAAGCCAAAAAAAAAAAAAAATCTTCACTTTCTTTTCTCCTTTTCTCTCTCTATTTCTTTGTCGCGCTGCCATTGTTTGCTCGCTGCATGCACGCTTGTTCGCTGCCCGCACTGTGCATGTCTCCACCATTTTTTATTTTTCTTTAATAATTCAGATTTAGGCTCAATGCTCAAATCATCTAGTTCAAACACACATATGGGCTGGACCCAATAATTCTTCCCCTCTAACTCATATGGTGGACTGTAGTAAGCCCGCTTTTTGCCTACATGCTTCAAACTTCTTCTCAGGCAAAGATTTTATAAACATATCTGATTCATTCTCATTGGTATGCATATTTTTCAAGTGTAATTCTTTCATCTCAAGCACATCATGCATTCAGTAATATCTACCATCAATATACTTGGATCTAGAATAATATGTTAAATTTTTTGAGAGGTGAATGACGCTTTGACTATCATAGTAAACAATATATCCTTCCTATTTCAAGCTCAATTCATGTAGAAACTTTTTCATCCACAAAGCTTCATTGTAGGGTTCAATAATTGCTATATATTCTGCTTTTGTGATTGATAGAGTAACATAATTATGTAACTTAGACTGTCAAAAGATTGCTCCCCTACACATGCCATCAAGAATTCTGAAGTGGACTTCCTGTAATTAGTATCACCTGTCATGTCTGTATCTGTGTACCCCTCTAGCACATGTTCATCACTGCCAAAACATAAACACAACCTAGAAGTATCTCTTAGATATCTTAATATCCATTTCACTACTGCCCAATGTTCCTTTCCAGGATTAGAGAGAAATCGATTGACAACTCTAACTGCATGAGCTATATCTAGTATAGTACGAACCATAGCATACAACAAACTACCTACCGTAGATGAGTAAGACACTTTGGATATTTCTTCTTTTTTCTTTCTCACTTGTAGGACATTATTTCAAACTAAGCTTGAAATGACCTACAAATGGAGAACAAACTGCTTTGGCTTTACTCATGTTGAATCTTTCAAGAACCTTTTCAATGTAGGTCTCCTAAGATAGCCAAATATTTCTTTTCTTCCTATCACGAAGAATCTTCATGTCAAATATTTGTTTTACCGATCCCAAGTCTTTCAAGGTAAAAGACTTATCTCTCTTTTAAGCTTTTCAATTTTACTAGCATCATGACCAACAATCAACATATAATCAACATATAGTAAGAAAATAATGAAATCATAATATGAAAATTTCTTTGTAAACATATAATGATCAGATGTGGTTCTTTTATACCCTTGGCTCATTATAAAGGAATCAAATGTTGAATCTCGGATTTTGATGATGAAGTCAATTGTAAATTATTTGATCTAATCTATATGTTGAGAAAGGTGTGCATGATTAACTACGATAGTAGTGAGACATAAAGCAAGGTTTGTGCCGAAGTCAAGATCAAGATCTCATTGAGAGTTCGAGAGTTCGACGGAAGTCCGGACATTTGTCGGAAGTTCTACCGGAACCAACCGAGAAGTCCAGGAGCTTGGTAAACAAGCTCGTTGGAACTCACCAAGAAGATCGTCGTAAAGTCCAGGAGCTTGCCAAGAGTCCGTCGGAACATTGCCGAGAGTTCGTCGGATGTTCACCGGAAGTACGCCGGAAGCTCATCGTAAGAGCAATTGACGCACTGGAATAAGCAACACTGTAATCATGTCTTAGTTAATGTATTTAGAGCATAAATTAAGTTAGGATTGGGAGGTAATCCCACTAACTTAATTAGGAGCCAATTGGGCCCTTAATAGGGCTGAATTGGGCCGAATTGAGCACCCAATTAAACCCTTGAAAATATGGTCGGCGGTGGCACCGCTTGGAAGGCAGTGCCCCTAGATTTCTGGGCGGGGGTATTGCCCAGACTGGGTAGTGGTACCGCCGCTGTTCGACGGTGGTACTGCCTAGAGTTAGATCAACGACGGTAGTACCGCCTAGTAACGACGGTGGTACCGCCAGTACCCCGGATTTCGGGGATGTGACATTTTTTGGCTCCAATTTTGAAGCCATTGAGGCCTATAAAAATCCCACCCTTTTTTGCATAAAAGGGCACGAAAGTATTGGCTTAATTTTAAAGTCTTGAGTCATAAAAGTGTTGTAAAAGTTAGAGTTCTCCTCCTTCATCTCTTAGCATTGTAACTATCCAAGAAAGAGGAGTGAGCATTGTAAGGGTTATCTCCTAAACTTGGGAAAAAAAGAAAACGCTGTAAAGAGGTGTTCGGTCTTCACCTATTGAAGGAAGGCCTTTAGTGGACGCCGATGACCTTGTCGGAGGAGGAATCTGAAAGTGGATGTATGTCACATTGACCGAACCACTCTAAAACTCGGTTTACATTTACTTTAAGCAATCTACTTTTATAACAAACTGCCTCTCCTCCTTACCATGCTTTTACTATGCCTACATACGCTTTCTGTTGAATCTCGGATTTTGATGATGAAGTCAATTGTCATTTGTTGTCTAATCTATGTGTAGAGATAAGTGTGCAGGATTAACTACGATGAAAGTTAGACATGCTGCAGGAGTTACGCCGGAGTCAAGACAATGATCACATTGGGAGTTCGAGAGTTCGACGGAAGTTCGGACAGTCGTCGGAGGTTCTGCGGGAACAAATCCGAGAAGTCCATAAGCTTGCCAAAAGAAGCTCGTCGGAACTCGCCAAGTGGATCGTCGCAAGTCCAGGAGTTTGCCGGAAGTCTGCAGGAGCATCACCGAGGGTTCATCGGATGATCGACGGAAGTTCGCCGGAAGAAGCGATTGACGCATCGGAGCAAGTTGCAGAAATTGTCTTAGGATTTATCGTAGTTAGCACAATGATTAAGTTGAAAATGGGAGGTGATCCCATTAACTTAATCTTGGGGCAATTGGGCCCTTGAAAAACCCAAATTGGGCCAAATGGATCTACCCATTCGGACCCTGATTGCTGTGGGAGGTGCAACCG